TTGTCCAGGATGTTGGTGAGGCCCCTTCTGCAGAACTGTATGCAGTTCTGGTTGCCCTGTTATAGGACGAACATTGTTAAGCTGGAGAGGGTTCAGAAGAGGTTTACCAGGATGTTGCCAAGAATGGAGGGTTTGAGTTATAAAGGAGAGGCTGGATAAGCTGGGATTTCTTTCACTGGAGCATAGGAGGTTGAGGGGTGACTTTACAGGGGTTTACAAAATCATGAGTGAGAGAGATAAGGTGAATGGTAGGTGTCTTTTCCCTATGTTGGGGGATTTCAAGACTAGGGAGCATATTTTTAAGGTGAGAGGAGAAAGTTTAAAAAGATATGTGGAGTAAGTTTTTTTTTTACACAAAGAGTGGTTTGTGTGTGGAATGAACCTCCAGACAAAGTGGTGGATGCAGGAACAGTTACATTTAAAAGTCTTTGGATAAACACATGAATAAGAAATGTTTGAAGGGATATGGGCCAAATGCAGGCAGATAGGACTAGTTTGGGATTATGGTCGGAATGAAGTGGTTGGACCAAAGGGTCTGTTTCCATGCTGTATGACTCTAAGTTAGAGAATTCTGAAAATTCAGAAGAACGTAGATGATGCTAACAAAGACAAACTCATGTGTGGTTTAAGATGTGGAATAATCCAAAAGAGAACACTGATAAAAGAGACCTAGATTTGAAAAAAACACTAGAAATAGCAATTTCAATGGAACTAGTAACCAAGAAAGCTCAACAGCTAAACACAGGCATAAGAGTTCACAAAATGGTAGCTGAGATCACCAATGCAGAGTTAAAAGTATGATCAGTGTTGAAAAATAGGTTTTGCAGCAGCCAATTGTTGGTATAAACAAGCTGAGGCAAAAAAAAAAGGTGCACTGAACGGGCATGGTGCTGGGAGGAAGAAACATGAACAACATCGAGGAAAACTACAGAAAATGAACAGTAGTATGAAAACCTACACGGTACACAAAGGACATGAAAACAACCAGGCTCTCAGTCCAAAGAGGAGCTATTATTAAATGTACTCGCCATTGCTGGTGAAACCAATGATACTGGTCACTCCTTTACTGAATAGCAAACCAGTAAGAATGGTGATGGACACTGGAGCTGTAGTTTCATTTGATTGTTGAAAGGGTGTACCAGAAGCAGCTGAGTCATACTGCAGTGCAACCCTCAAAAAGTGTACTAAGAAAGTATGAAGGCAAAGTCGCACCTTTAAGGGAATGTATCAATGTTCTGAGGAAGGGTCACCGGACCCGAAACGTTAACTCTGTTTTCTCCTTCACAGATGCTGTCAGGCCTGCTGAGCTTTTTCAGCAACTTTGTCTTTGTTCCTGATTTACAGCATCCGCAGTTCTTTTGGTATCAATGTGAATGTTTGGTCATACTGAGTCTGAAGATTTATCCTTACACGTTATCAAAGGAAATTTTCCAGCTTTGCTGGAAAGAAAGTGATTGGAGAAAATCAAAACTCAACTGGGTTGAAATAAGTCACCTGTCAGATTCTGAGATTGATTTACCTCCATTTTAAAGAAACGTGCCATTATTTTCAATGGGGACCTGGGAAACACGGGAAAGATCCCTTTCAAGCTGAAAATGAAGAGTGAGAATCAAGCAAAATGTTGCAAGGCTAGACCAGTGCCTGAAATCGGACCAAAGGTCTATCTAAAATAGAGAGGCTGGTCAAAATGGACATCCTTGAACCAATAATAGAATCATAGAATTTTACAGTACAAAGGAGGCTATTCACCCATTGTGTCTGTTATGGCTTGCTAATGAACTACCAATGCTGTCAGCTGGATTTATTGGAGATTATGATCCATATTGAAAGTGAGATACAGATATATTTACAGTTTACAGATGACTGTTAAAGAAAGTTTTGGGTTTAAATAAAAACCAATACTCTCCGCATTGAAATCATACGAAGTTCTCTGGAAGAATTCAATTTCAGAATGACACATACTCAGAAATATACTTGCAACTCTTTAGCGCCAGATGTTTTGCAAGCCAAAGAAATTAGCCTAGATTTTGCAGTCAGCAACAACTCAACAGTGCATACCACTGACCTTGGAGAACCATTTAATTTTTGCGACATAAATTGGATCTTTTCTGATGTTATTTGAATTTGGCGGCTAGTCAAGATCTCCAGCAACAGTGACATTATCCTTCAGGATTAGTAACAAAACATGTTGACAGATTTTCAGAGACCGAATCAGAAAGTAAAATCCACTGATTATCCTTCACTTTTTACAAGTCTTACAGGAAGTAAAATAAAGATCGGGACATTTGCAGCAAAAACTAAATGATCATAAATGCAATTTTTAAAGATTTTCTTAAAAAGGTGGAATAATGATAAAGCCAAAAAATTACATTCCAAGGATACAAAATTAGTTTTCCAAAGCAAGAGAGGTTGTTGAGAATTAGTTTTGATGTAGGAGAACACTGTTTAAATCTAGCTACAACTCATCAAAAAGACATAACTTCTCAGAAGTATTCAATGGTGACATTACAGTGCAAAAGTGGAAATTCTTATTAGCTCAATGGCTTCAAATTGATTTCCATCTTAAGAGTTCAAAAATGAAACCAATGGAGAAGCTAAGAATCATTGACAACAACTTCTCAATTTCCAGGGTTAAATGTGCAAGATCAGATTCCCAAAAATGCTGTTAGTTTCACAGGAATAATAACAAAGGACACAAATTATAGCTTTGTTACCATTATGACTGCAAAGTCCGTACCATAGGAAAAACAACAACGTAAAAAAATGATAATGGCCTCATAATTTCCATTTGACAATTTCATAACATCTGAATCATGCATGGAAATTTTGAATAAACTGATAATCAAGTGTCTTCCACTTGTTTTATGCCAGCACCTCTCAATGCACAGAACTACCTTAATCATTTTCACTGCACTCAAGAGTAATATCCATTGAAACCTCACTTAATTTAACTCAGATTCCTCTGTCCCAAAATGAAAGTTCTGTGAAGGTGAATTTATGTACTCATGTAATTTCAGAGCAGATGTAAATTTATACTCAACATTGAATGTGCCATATGACTCTATGTAACTACTTCCAGCATTTCAGCTTATTGTTTCTTTTTTCTTACTGAAAATCATCATAGAATCCCTACAGTGTGGAAGCAGTCCACGTGGCCCATCAAGTCCACACCTACCCTCTGTACAGCATCCCATGCAGATGCATCCCCTATCCTATCTCTGTATCTCTGCATTTCCCATGACTAATCCACCTAGCCTGCACATCTTTGAACTGTGGGAAGAAAACACAGCACCCAGAGGAAACCCACGCAGACAAGGGGAGAATGTGCAAACTCCATACAGATAGTTGCCTGAGGTGGGAATGAACCCAGGTCCTTAGCGCTGTGAGGCATCAGTGCTAACGATTGAGCCATTGTGTCGCCCCTATGACAGTAATTTTCTACATCTTTGACTAAACTTTAATATTATCAGAATCTTACATGAAAAAGAGAAATGGTTTCATTATTAGATTTTCTTAAATGTACTTTAAGATCTAAAAATAATAGTTTTATAGCTTCAACCTTTAACTTTCACAATATCAATAAGATAAAGGCAACAGTGTACATTTCTTGACTTCTGAATGTGGATTGCATTTTGTTTCACAACAGTTGTTACATGGCTGCATATTTTGAGGCTCCTGAGAAACCTTGGTTTAAGTTGCTTTTGGGAGGACCAGTGTTTGTTATTTATTCATGGGATGTGGGGCATTGCTGGCTAGGCTAGCATATTTTTCCATTCTTAGTTGCTCAGAGGGCAGTTAAAAATCAACCAGGTTGCTGTGGGTTCAGAATCACCAAACTCGACAAGGATGGCAAATTTCCTTTCCTCAAGGACATTGGTGAACGAGACTTTATTATGATAATTGGCAGTGGTTAGATGCTCACAAAAAGGAAACATCTTTAAATTCCAAATTTTACTGAATTTAAATTCCACCATTTGTCACGGTAGACTTTGAACTCATATCCCCAGATCATTAGCCTTGGGTTCTGAATGATTGATCAAATGGCATTATCATGATACCACCTCTGTCAGTTAAAACAGATGTAGGTATGTTGACTGCAGAAATTCTGGGTCAATACATTCTTTAATCATAATTTTGATTTCGAGAGTACAGGGAGAAGTAGATTTTCTTCAGATTTTTATTTGTTTATACACAAGATAGTCAGTATAATTTGCAGGCTCAGATCTTTGAGTATAGGAGTTGGGACGTCATGTTGAGATTATATAGGACGTTGATGAGGCCTCTCCTGGAGTACTGTGTGTAGTTCTGGTCGTCCTGTTACAGGAAGAATATTATTAAACTGGAGAGGGTTTAGAAAAGATTTATCAGGATGTTGCCAAGAATGCAGGGTTTGAGTTATAAAAAAAGGTTGGATAGGCTGGGACATTTTTCATTGAAGTATCAGGGTTGAGGGGTGACTTTATAGAGGTTTATAAAATCATGAGGGGCATAGGTAGGGTGAATAGCAAAGGTCTTTTCCTTAAGATAGGGGGTGCTAGGAGAAAGGTTTAAAAAGGACATGAGGGGCATTTTTTTTGCAACAAGGAGTGGTTAGTATGTAGAATGAACTGCTAGAGGAAGTGGTGGATGCAGGTACAGTTACAATGTTTAAAAGCCATTTGGATAAGTACGTGAATAGGAAAGGTTTGGAAGGGTATGGGCCAAACACAGGCAGCAGGGCTAGTTTAGTTTGGGAACAAGGTCAACGTGGACTGGTTGGATCGAAGGGTCTGTTTCAATGCTGTATAACTCTATATGACTCTATAATAATAACCCAATCCACCAGATCAATTAATTACAAATCAACTTTAATTTTCACAGTTCAAGCAATGGAAATGTATATTTGTGCTCATCACAAATGTTTCCATCTAATATTGCGCAATCATGTCTTGATTTCTACTTAAAAAGATTAATAAATTCATCACCTTGCATTACAGATTTAAAAAAAACCAGTAAATTACCTTATATCTCTGTTTCTCTGGGCTTAGGCTCTCAGAAGATGGTTCTGTTGAGCTGCTCGGGGATGGCATATTACTGGAAGAATTGTATCCTCTGGCACTTTCTCCAAACCAGGATAAAAGTACACATGGTGAGACGGAGGAAGATGTTTCTCCTATTGAAATGGTACTTGTCAAGCTATCCAGGGTATCCTTGGAGATCCTGCTTATAAAATCACAAAAACTTATGAATGCAGGCATCCATTATTATTGATAAATTTCAATGTATCATCAAAAGTGTTTCCTCTCCGATTAGTACACTGTCCCACTTTTTAGCTACAGCTAATAGGTTTCCATACTGCAGACTATTTCCCAACATTTAGATATGTTGGGTGCCAAGTCATCGGGGTTGCTTAAGAATCAGCCAAGATAATAGTCGCTTTAAGATATTTAGATCTGCAGGTACTTGATCATTCCATCATTTTTGATTGGTTTTGTTAATAATTTTGCAACTGGTACCCAAATTTTCACAAAGCAACTAATTTTTCAGCATTTTCCATATCCCTCAGCACGACTGCTCAACCAATAGGTTTTCCAGAGCAGTTCCCTACTGGATACATCTAAACATAAAGATCAATAAACATTAGCTCATCCAAATCTTTGCCGGCCAGGTCAAACTGCTTAGAGTTACTCTGTGTGCCTATTCACTGAGATTCTTGCATCTGAAAACACAAATAACAATACCTCACTTTGACAAGCAGCGGATGCAGACAGTTTTCATTCTAAAGGAAGCTGTGGCATTAGACCCAATGACACTAAGTGAATGCTGAACTAACCATAACATTGAACTGTTCATATTAGTACTTGGAAAATACAGTTTTTTTTATTTAGTTCAGTCTGCAACTTTGACAGCTTCATGTCATTAGTGATGGGAAGCATCATGGAATAGCTCTATTATAACTAATGGGAGCAGGGAATCCAGGTTAGCTGCAGGATCCCAGATAGTGTCACTGCTATTTGGGGTTGGAGATCTCTCAGCCAGTAGTGTGATTTCACAGGATCTATGACTTGAGACCAATACGCAGGTCGGTCTAGATATTCTTAATCAACCTGTTCAGGCATGTTATGACATATGTCTACGGCAGGTGGAGCTTGAACATGGACTTTCTGGCCCAGAGAATTTACATTATCACTTTATTGTATATGTTCAAACCAACCTATTAAGAGATGTTATTACACACCTATGGAGCAGCTGGCACTTGAACCTTGGCCTCTTAGCTCAGAGATAGGGGCACTACTATTGCACCACAAGAGCCCTTCTCAGATTGATTTATGTCGTTACTATGTTTATTACAATCAAGCAGCACCTAAATACCAAATTAAAACTGAATGAGCTGCGGATGATGTAAAAGAGATATAAAAACAGAAGTTGCTGATAAAGCTCAGCATCTGTCGAGAAATCAGAGTTAACATTTCAGGTTGAGTAATTCTTCCTGCGTTCTGAGGAAGGGTGACTGGACTCAAAATGTTAACTCTGATTTCTTACCAAAGATGCTACCAGATCTGCTGAGCTTTTCCAGCAATTTCTGTTTTACCACCTAAATACTTCCCATCAGTGATAACATGAATTACAAGTAAAAGGGAAATGGGGGAAACCTAATTTTGCATGCTTCTCAGTGGCTGAGCATGTCAAAATACTGAGACATATTTAATGAGTACATAGTTTTATTTTAAAAATAAAAATACTTTGAACAGACATGTTCACTTAAACTTTTCTTCCCTATTATTGTTAATCCAGGGGCAGTCAATGAAAAGTACCATTAGAGAAACAGCTTTTTGATTACCAGAATTTATTTGAAGAAGTATTCCTTCTGAAAACATAAATGACATTGAAAAAGTAACTATAAGAGTATGTCAATGGAGCAGTAAATACCATGAATAAAGTTCAACATCGCAAAGAAATAAAGTTATACTAGATAAGAGAAAGCTACTGAAAACAGCCTCACTTGTCAGTTGGGTAGATCACAGAACTGGGTGTGACTGATTTCAGTTCTGAAGAAGAGTCGTACCAGACACGAAATGTTAGCTCTTTTTGTCTTTCTGCAGCTAAATTTCTCCAATATCATATTTTCTTCCCCTTTATCCTGACATTTTCCTTTGAGCTATAATAACTCAAACAAGGATTTAGGAGGAAAGAACTCAAGCAAGGAATTAGTATGGCTAAAAGGGATCATGAAATGTCTTTGGAAAACAGGTTTAAGGAGTAACCCAAGGTGTTTTATACACATATAAGGAACAAGAGCGTAGTTAGGGATAGGGTAGGTCCACTCAAGGACAAAGGAGGGATTTTATGCCTGGAGTCGGAGGAAGTGGGTGAGATCCTTAACGAATACTTTGTGTAATTACCCACAAAGGAGGAGGCCTGGGTGAATGGTGAGTCTTAGGAGGGGTAAGTTAATATTCTGGGGCATGTCAACATTAAAATGGATGAGGTTTTGGGTGTTTTGAAAAGCATTAAAGATAGACAAGTCCCCAGGACCTGAAAGGGATCTATCACAGAATACAGAGGAAGGTGAAGAAGGAAGTTGCTGGGGCCCTGTACAAAATCTTTATATCCTCTTCAGTCACAGGGGAGATCCCAGAGGATTGGAGAACGGTTAGTTCCAGGAGAGGTCCCAGAGGACTGGAGAATGGTCAACATTGTTCCTTTGTTTAAGGAGGACAACAGGGATAATCTGGGAAATTACTGGCAAGTATGCCTTATGTCAGTGGTAGGGAAATTGTTGGAGAAGATTCTTGGGGAAGGATTTACTCAGATTTGGAAAAATATGAACTTATCAGTGATTGGCAGCATGGCATTCTGCAAATAAGCTCATATCTGACAAAAACCGAAAGAACTGCAGATGCTGTAAATCAGGAACAAAAACAGAAGTTGCTGGAAAAGCTCAGCAGGTCCTCAGTTCTAAGGAAGGATCCCCGGATCTGAAATGTTAACTCTGATTTCTCTTCACAGATGCTGCCAGACCTGCTGTGCTTTTCCACCAATTTCTGTTTTTGTTCATATCTGACAAACTTGACTGAGTTTTTTGAGGAAGTGACAAAGGATGATTGATGAGGGCAGTGCAGTAGTGGATAAGAAAGTATATGGCATGCGTGCCTTCATCAATCGGGGCATACAATATAGAAATTGGCAAGTCATGGCACAGGTCTATAGAACCTTAATGAGGCCACATTTGGAATACTGTGTATAGTTCTGATCGCCACAGTACCAGAAGAATGTGGAGGCTTTGGGAAGGGTTACAGAAACTGTTTACCAAGATGTTGCCTGGTTTGGAGGGTATTAGCTATGAGAAGAGATTGGCCAAACTTGGTTTGCTTTGAAAGTTGAAGGATGTGGGGCGACCTGATAGAAGTTTACAAAATTATGAGAGGCATGGAAAGAATGGATACTCAGAGTCATTTTCCTAATGTACAAATGTGAATTACTAGGAGACATAGGTTTAAGGTAAAAGGGGGTAAGTTTAAAGAAGATGTGAAAGGCACATTTTTTTTTTAAACACAGAAGGTGGTAAGTGCTTGGAATGCACTGCCAGAGGTGGGGTGAAGGCAGATACAATAGCAACATATAAGAGGCACCTGGGAAGATTTGTGAATCGGCAGAAAATAGAGAAAATAATGAATAATCATTGCAGCATCATCACATTACCTAAACATACCATAGCCATCTAATCTGTATAGAGCAGAACATAGAGCAGCCTTAATCTCGGAGCATGGGTCAGAAAACTGTACATGGTGGTCAATGTACCCAGTTCATGACACGTCCGGTTCTCCAGCATTAGTTTTAATTAAAATAATTTACAAATTCCATGAACATGGTGAGCAAACATTCACATAATGAAAACAAAATATTGCGGATGCTGGAATGTTTAGATAGTGTGATAATACAAGAATGATTGTTTATTATTTTCTGGATGTCAAAGATCAGGAGATATTGATGACGGTTAAATTTCCAGATACCTTAAATCACAACACAAAATCCAGTCAAGAATGTTGTTACAGTGATGATAATCACCTATAGGATGTTTAGTAGGTGAAAAATATGTATTTTGGCTATTCCCAAAAGTGTTGTAGTTCAAAAGAATTATATCAGGAATGAGTAATTAACCAACAGTAAGGAAGAAAAATATAAGCAAACTGTCTGTCCTGAACAGAAGTGGGAACTTTACAACTGATCTACATGGACAGTGCTACTGTTTGACCAAATGTAATTTCCTTTTTGAATAAGATAAAAACTTGGAAGATGAACATTTACAAATCTTTGGTAGACTGGAATGACCCCAAACTGTGTGGAGGTTCTTTGTGGCCACAGCAATTCTCATCCTCTTTAAATTGCTGCCTAAAAAAGCTTGTTACATGAACAAATAAGAAAAGGAGTCATTTGTGAACCATATTGTGGCAAACCTGCTTCCTGATGATAGTCTATTGGATTCTTTCTCTTTGTCCTTTTGTTTATTCCCTTTATAAGATGCTGTTTGCAATTGAATGCTACAATAAATTCAAAATAAATCAGTTATTAATACTGGTTTTAAGAATAACAGAAGCTGAAATTTCATGCTGTACAATTAATTAATTAATTTTGCAAAATTATAGTTACATGCAAAAAGCCTGATTTTTAATATATGTTAATGCTAAAATTGAAAAGTGAGAAAAAAGATGAAATAGGGATCTGAATTAGTTCTTAACTAGAGTAGAGATTGCATTATACAAAAGGTCTTTGTAAATTACTCTTGATCCATGCTACCTTATGATTGCCTAAAGGAGTAAGAATGGAATTTTCTCGGGTATTTCAATCATTATTCCCAACCCATTCACTTACTCTCAGGAAACTGTGTGGCTGAGGAACTTCCACAATGTGTTCAGGCGATGTGGGCTTTGTTGGTTGGGCCATAATTTACTGCCCAACTCTAATAGCACTGGAAAAGTTTGTAGTGAGCTGTATTCTTGAATGGCTGCAGTCCATTTGTTGCAGATTTGTATATTCATGGATGCATGTTGTGTGTGTGTTTTGGGGGGTGGGGCAAGATTCTGGTGAATGGGAGTGCAAAAGATACAAGAAATGCTGCTATGATGTTCTAGCCATAATTTTGGACCAGCTGATCTGTTGCTTGATGTCTATTTAATGTGTTTGCGTTATGCATAACTGAAATTCCTGCAGATATCAGATCCCAAACTATTTGATTATTTGGTTTTCGTACTTTCCCTCCTTACTATCTCTGCCTGATATGATATCTGCAAAGCTGGTCTATTGATCTGGCCAATTCAAAAGTCTACTGGACTTGCATTAGACAAGGTACCTGACTATAAGCTTAATGGATAAAGAGTCTCCTTTTATTCAGATACTTTTGAACAACATACAAGTCCCCTTCCTATACAGCAGTTCTGCCTTCATCATTCATAGAAGATTATTCCTTGCTGGTCCCTGTTGCTGTGGCTAGATGTTCATACTGAGTGAACAGTGTTGCATCTCAACCCTTAATATTTTTCTCCCCACCCTGCAAAAGAACCAAGCAACTTATTCACATCCCCATTCACAAACAATACCTTTCTTCCCATTATAAAATCAACAAACATTGGTTTACATCCGATAGCCTGGGAGAATTCTGGAATTTGCTTACTGGCACCACTGACCTTTATTGCCACCTCTTGGGAAACTTCTCTATATTCAAGAATTTATTACCTCAGTCACTGATTATAATTTTTGTCTTTGCATCTCTCATTCAATGAGAAGCTTTACACTCCCTGATAAAAGCCCTACTCAGTAATATTTCACCCACTTCTCCACCTAGGTTTGCCGATTTTGATTTGTAAAAACATTGTCTAATTCACTCTATTCTATTCCTCTACATACAAATACCATTCCCTCACTCACCCCTAAAGGACTTTCCACAATTGATTAGGAAATTGTCCTTAGGAAATAACTACATTGGAACATCCCCACCCTTTAATTTCTAAACTTCTTGCAACTTCACCTGCAGCATCAATATTTACCCAACTTTCTCTGATTCCCATCTGTCCCCTCAACATCTCCTCACTCCCCATCTGCTAATATAGCCTCTCTTCTCTTTCCCATTACTCTCTCCAGCTGGCTTCTTTTCATCCACCATCCTTCACACCGTCTGATCTTCTGTGCCTCTGCTATCTGAATCTTGTTAACCTCTACCCTGAATCTCATTCTTGATCTTGCCTCTCATAGACTAATCTTTAAATAAGGTGAAAGTGTAAGTACACATTACTAATTAGTCATCTATTACATACGATGGCTGATTTTCCTTTCTGCTGAAGTAAATAGAAGAGGAAATCACAATTTATAAAGTTATGAAAGTATAGTGGGTGGTTAATTCATTACTGCAACTTTTACACCATCGACCAAAGTTAAAATTTGCAGCCTTGTGTACAAATCCACAGGAAATCAGGATTTAATTACGTCACTCAATTTTGTGATGCTGTGAATGTTTTGAATAAGCCAGTTTAGAATTTTGTTTTTGAACTATGTTAATTAAAAACAAATAATTTGCAGTTGACAGCTTCAGATTAAGTTTAACATACTATACTGAGGGATTATAAATAACTTACCCAAAGTCAACAAACTTTTGTTTTGTGTTCTCTTTTTGATTCATAGGAAGACTGACTTTTGTTGGTGAAGAAATACCTCTGTTGTCATCTGAAATTAACAGTATTATTTTAGACATGTTACAGTAAATAGTTCTCTCTTTAGAAAAGGACTGTTTTGTTAACACACCAACAAAACAGAACACATTCTACTCATTCAAACTTGGGCATTTTAATTATAAGACTCTACCATCTTTAGCTGTCATTTGATCTCGTCACAATTTGAACACTAGTGTCCAAAAAGAAAACATTCTTGTCAAAAATGGGCTACACGGAATTGCTGCCATTTATAGCTTTTGAAAAATATATCTTAAAACAAGCACATTCACATCAGATAGCTTTAAAATCTACTTATTTAAATTACTGTTACTAACTTTATAAGGTGGATAGAAAAGGAGTGCATTATTGCACTATTGACAATTCAGCATTTTTCAAACAGCTGTAACAGCTACTATTACAATAACAATAATTATATTACAAAGCACAGACTAGATAATCACTGAAATTGAGAACAATATCTTCTTATACCTTCAGGTTTTCTCATTTTGCCTTGGTTATCCATATGATGCAAGAAAGACAATGTAGCATTGTGACAAGGATTTGATGGCAATGAAGTTGTGGTTCCTCCTACAGAATCCTCTGAAAGTCGCTCTGATGATGTCAAACCTCGTTGGTTATGTTCTCCCAGAGCTTGATTTTCGACTGTAGTATCAAATGAGAAGACTGCATTGCTGGCTACTGGAGATAATGAAGAGGCTCCAGAATCAGATGCTGGTGAACAAGTCCTCAAGGATGCTGGCAGGGGGGATCTGGAAATGTGCGTGGGACTTCCATAGCTATCTAAAGGCTTTTATTTCAAATAGGGGAGAAACATAGAGTGCATGTGAGTTTCTGAATAGCATACAAATGACAATTCAAATTGTATTGGTTTTAGAGAAACTTCTTCGGTCAATTGAACCACTTTTTGGTTATATTTTTAAAATCTTACTAACACCTGTTCTGTACACATCCAAAGTGCTGTCAGCATACCCGAAAATTTTTGATCATACCATTGTACAACAATGCACAAGAGTGAGACGGAGAAAGAACAGCCTTGGAATGTGGCTCTGGCAGGCACAATCAGCCAAGTTGTTTTCCCCCATTTATGGAGTTATACCTGCACCTGTTTTAATGTCAGTTATGATATTTCAGCATAGGCAAATAAACTCCACAGGAATTTTAAGGCAAAATCAGCAAAGTAATCCAAATTTTAACATAATTACGTGCAGGAACTTCAGGACCATGAACTGGTTATGTGTTTAGATTTTTCAGCAATTTTGTACTGGTCTTAAAATTTGAGCTTAAAGCATTAAAACAGTACAATGTGTGCAACCGTTAATACTTCAGTCAAAATATAATGATACTTGATGCCACCTCAAAACAAAAGTTGTATATTATGTTCCAGATTTATCCATACTAGATGAATCCCAAATGTGAATTTGGAGACTGAATTTTGTCTATTTTCACAAACACTTAAATTTGGACTTTGAAGATAAATTAATATTCCTACTTCCCTTGGCATATTTGATACCTAATATTCATTTTACTTAAGTTATGTGCACATGGGCACCTGCAGGTCTTTATTAAGAAAAGCAAACATAAAAGAGTCAGCAATTTGGTCATAGTCACAAGAAGTTAACTAAATTATTTTTAAACAGCAAAGCCAGTGAATTTCTCCCACTTATAAAATGACTCATTAGTAATAATGATGCCAGTAAATTTCATAACATTCTTGAGGAAATAACTGAATAGTAAAAATGCAGAAAATATTGTGCATTTGGGTTTTGCACATAGCAATGCTTAAAATAGGACATTGTTTACAAATTAGAATTAGTGATGTTGTGTAGACAGAACTCTGGTTAAAGGTCAGAAAGTGGACAGCAGTGATCAATGCTTGTTTTTCAAACTAGAGAAATATAAACATTTGTCTCTGCAGTTTCAATTTTGGGACCATTGCTGTTAGTAATTGGGTATGAGTGCATAATGTAAATAAATCAAAATTTACAGACATCATAAAAACTGGGTTTGTGGTTAACATGAAAATGATAAACCTTTCAGGAAGACATAAACAAGTTAACAGATTGGGTACGTGTGTACTAGACAGGTAACGGATTATGATCTTTGAGACAACAATAAATAGAGATTATGTTAAACAATCAAATTTCAAAATGAGTTATTCAAATTCAGGCTGAAATTTCCCATTATCAATGAAAATGCAATTTTGAGTAAAATACAAGGCATTCGGCCAAGCCACAGTTCTCATGCAATCACCTGCCTTTCACCTTAACTATGCATCTAGGCTTTATGGTGTCCTTCTTATGGGATCACCGTCACAAGTGGAAATGCTTGCCGCTGGCAGAAATTTGTGGAGTTTAAAGCATTATGGTCATATGTCGCACATAACTTCAGATGCTGCAAGCTAGGAACTGTCCTTCACACTTTGGTTTTTGAGTGCCTACATTAAATAGGAAGTTAACTCCTGGTTCATCGACGACATGCTGTTATTTGGGATGGTGAAGGACAGTGCTGTATCCTATTAACTGATAAAGGGAGTTACACCACCAACCAGGCCAGCCTGAACTGAGAAAACACTCCAAGTCAGACCAGTGGTACATGTAAAATGCTATGCACAGCAGTGAAGAAAGAAAGTCAATGATTCTTTGTACTCCACAAGGGTAAGTGTCCCTATTTTCTCTCAGCTACTCACACTCACAAGACCACCATTTACTATGCCACTGTACATGCCTCTCACCTCTCATTGACTACCGTTCTCACTATTAAATGCATCATGTTCTCACCCACCTCATCCTCCCAGAGTACTAAACATTCCTACCCTCTGGGCTTCCAACTCACTTTGAGGACACCTCACCACCTCTCCTGCTGCTGCTCTACCACTAACTGCCCTTCCATCCACATCCATTCTATACAATGTCTCTCTTTCATTGCAGGAAAAAAATGGCTTAAACTGGGCCAGAGGAGCCAAGACTGGCATTGAGTTTTGTAACTTGCTCCTCCTCCTGTACATTTAAAGGCCCATATTATGGAATATGCAGTGGATGATAACAATGTGAGAGACTCTTCCAAGACCGTTTGCAGCGTTTGACCTGACAGATGCAAGGTATTGAAACTATATCTTCATAAGCTTGTTTGATGTTGATCCTAATGAGTAAATGGTTTCGATTATAGCCCCATGGTGGTGTCTGTGGGTCTTGTAAAGGGGTAAGTAGCCAGCTTATCAAGTGATATGACTTGATTCCTGGAATTCACCCATTCTATTTGGATAGGTGAGAGAGAAATGAAGATCTGCATGGCCCTGGAGAGCTGGAGGTTGAAGGAATCATGACAGCTGCTTAGGAGTTTTAGAAGGAAGCTGAGAAAAAGTCTTTTCACCCAGGTGATGATGATGATGATGCTGGTGGTGGTACAGGAAAGGGGAGGGGGTGTCCCTGGAATGCAATGCCTGGTAGGGTATTCAAGGCGGCTAACCTCATAACCTTCAAAAAGTACTTGGTTGAACACTTGAAGTGTCATAACATTGAGGGCTTTTAGGTCTAGTGCCTGAAATAAGGAACAGTGTAAGTCATAGAGTATTTTTGGCGGTATAGTCGATGGGTTGAAAGGCTTCTTCTAAACAGTTCTTTTGATTTTGATTTGATTTGTTATTGTCACATGTACCAAGACACAGTGAAAAGTATTGATTTGCATGCTATCCAGACAAATCATACCTTACGTAAGTATATCAGGGTAATGGAACAGAATGCTGTTCAAGATTTTAAGAAAGCAAGTATACACATCTAGGAACCACTTGCTGTGGCCACAAACCAACAAATGTTGAGTGAATGGAAAAATTTCCTGTTGGTGAAGGTCATTAGCCAATCTCTGGGTGCTTTGATGGCCAAAACTATGCAATTGATGATGCCCTGCACCTAGGGGCATCACAGATTTATACAGCACAGAAACAGACCCTTTGGTCTAATTCTAATGATAAAGGCGAAACTTGCCTTTTTAACTGTGAGGCCCTACAGCCAAGAAGATAACATCATTAACCTGTGAGATTTAGCTGCATGTATTAATTTGCAAGATCCACAGCTGATCCTTGGAAGAACACACAGGTTAGGAAAATCAAAGATACAGTGTTCTTGTGGCTACTGGCAGGGCATAATGAATAATTCCTTGTGATGAGGTCTTCAATACATCTTCCTTGAGAGTTGTTGTCTCCTGTAGTGATGATTCTCCCATATTTAACATAACTCCATCTCTGTTGGTTGATTTGAGGCAGTGGGTATGTCCTCTGTTGCCTCTGTTGTCGTTGTCCTTGCCATTGTACTTTTCCTGCAGGATTCTGCTTCTCCTGTACAGAATTCCCTCCTCTTGGTCACTGGATTCAACAATTCAGAGTGGTGTTCCCATTACCAGCAACTGCACATTTTGTGCTCACCAGGCTCCCTATCCTATCTGGAAGCCTTATTTCCTATTCTTTAGTCCCCATGATGCCAGGAGAATTACAACCTCTTGCATTGTCTGTGCTCATAAACACTCTTCCTGGAAGCCAAGCACGCCGCTTAGCGCATGTAGGCCTCTCTAAGCCATGCACCCTTTTTTCATGCCCATCATCCCTGCTGTGTGGTTGCTTCCACGCATATAGTCTTCCTCTATCTCAGTACACAACTTGCAAGTTTCCCTAAAAACCTGATTGCCCCAGCTGACCCATTGTCTCTGCCTGCTCCTGTCCCACCAACTCTTCTCCGCTTTCCTTTACTCTGTTTTATCCCTCCTGGTCCAGGAACTCCTCACCTATGTCCGGGACACCACCCACGCCCTCCACTTCCTCCAAGGCTTCCAATCCCTGGGCCCCAACAGCTCATCTTCACTATGGACATCCAATCCCTGTAGTGTCCACCACCCAAATGGCCTAAAAGCCCTCCGCTTCTTCCTCTCCTCTCCTGCAGGCCCAACTAGTACCCCTTCAATGACATCCTCATCCGCTTAACTGAACTTGTCCTTACCCTGAACGACTTCTCCTTTAACTCCTCCCACTTCCTACAGACTAAGGGTTGGCCATGGGCACCTGCATGGGCCCAAGCAATGTCTGTCTCTTTGCAGGATACGTGGAACAGTCCATTTTCCACTGTTACATGGCACTATACCCCACCTCTTCCCCCGTTACATTGATGACTGTATCGGCGCTACCTTGCGTTCCCACGAGGAGCTTGAACAGTTCATCAACTTTACTAACACCTTTCACCACAACTTCAAATTCACCTGACCATCTCCAATACCTCTCTCTCCTTCCTGGACGTATCCATTTCCATCTCCGGTAACCACCTCAAAACTGACATCTATTTCAAGCCCACCAACTTCCACAGCTACCTGGACTATACCGCCTCTCACACCCACTCCTGCAAGAATGCGATCTCCTACTCCCAATTCCTCTGGCGCATCTGCTCCCAAGATGGAGTTTTCCACTCCCACACATCCCGGATGTCCTCTTACTTCAAAGACCACAACTTCCCCGTTCTGGTGATCAAAAATGCCCTCAACCACATCTCTTGCATTTCCCGTACTTCTGCCCTCAAAACCCTCCCCCCAACAAAAATAAAGACAGAATCCCCCTTGTCCTCATATCACCCCACCAACCTCCGCATCCAGCTTATCATTCCCCGCCACTTCCGCCACCTAAAATTCGATCCCACAACCAAAGAGATATTTCCCTCCCCACCCCTATCTGCCTTTAATAGGGATTGCTCACTCTGTGACTCCCTCGTCTGCTCCACATTCCCCACTAATCCCACCATACCCAGCACCTTTCCCTGCAACCACAAGAAGTGCTACACCTGCTCCTACACCTCCCTCCTCACTTCCATTCAAGGCCCAAAACAAATCTTTCATATCAGACAGGGGTTCACATGCACATCCGTCAACTTGGTCTACTGTATCCGCTGCTCCCGATGTGGCCTTCTGTACATTGGTGAGGCCAAGCATAGACTCGGAAACAGTTTTGTAGAGCATCTGCGCTCTGTACGCAATAAACGACAACACCTTCCGGTCGCCAACCATTTTAACTCCCCCTCCCACTCCCTGGGTGATATGTCCATCCTGAGCCTCCTCCAGTGTCACAATGACACCACCCACAAACTGGAGGAGCAACACCTCATATTCCGCCTCGGGACCCTACAGCCCGATGGCCTATATATGGAATTCATCACTTATAAAATCTCCCCATCCCTGGTCTCATCCCATGTCCAACCCTCCCTCTCATCCCTGCCTCCTTGACCTGACACAATCTGTCCATCTTCTCTCCCACCTATCTGCCCGACCCATCCTACTGGCCAATTCCCACCATTCCCTACCTGCACTCACCTGTCAATATCCCACCTACCTTCCCCAGTCCCACCCCTCCTCTCTCTATTTATTTCCCAGCTCCCTTCCCCCTCCCCATTTCTGAAGAAGGGACTCAACCTGAAACATCAACTTTCCTGCTCCTCTGATCCTGCCTGGCCTGCTGTGTTCCTCCAGCTCCATACTGTGTTATCTCTGACTCCAGCATCTGCATTTCTTGCTATCTATTCCCTAAAATTCAAACTGTCTCCTGTGAGCTCTTGACAAGCTTGCCAACTAAAACCTTTAAAGAAAGGCATAAAGGGCTGGAGAAGCTCAGAAGGTCTAGTAGCAACTGTAAAAAGAAAAGACAGCTAAAGTTTCGAGTTCAATATGAGGTGGAAATGTGATGAGTTATATGCTGCTACATTTTAGGTAACTTGGAAGATGGGTAAGAGTGCCAGGTGTGTGGGTGAGGTGGAAGGATGTCAGTTGGATAAGAGAGTAGGGTATCAACTGGGTTGATAAGGTGGCCAAATGGGTGAAACGGGAAGATGTTAAGTTGATGAAGGGATAGGATGGATTATGGTTAGGAGTTTGAGCATGTTTAATCCCTTTAACCTTTTTCTGGATAAATATGTGTGAGTTAGAACCCTCCAATGTCTATGGCATTGGTTCAGATTTGGGGACTTGATCAAAAGATTCCAGATGAAGGATAATTGCCATCAGAAGTTTAAATTTCTCAGTTTCTCTTGGCAGTTACTGAATCTGGACATCTAAGGGGTCCTGAAGCACAAATGTCAGGGTACCTGAGATCTGAAGATCTGGTCCTCTGTTTCTCTCTCCAGAGATATTGGGAGATCTTGAGTTTTTCTATCACTTGCTGTTTCTTGTGTTCTGTGTATATTTTTCTATATCTCTGGAAGGTAGTTGTGCAGTGGTAACATTTGGGCTAGCCATCCAGAGGTTCAGTCTAATACTGTGGGAACACAGCACCTGGTGGAACTTGAATTCAATTAATAAAACTCTAGTTCTTGTAATGGCATCATGAAACGACTGTCAATTGTCGTAAAATTCCATTTGGTTCACAAATGTAATTTAGGGAAGGAAAAATGCTATCCTTATGAGTAAAGCCTACATATGACTCCAGGCTCACTGTAATGTGAGTGACACTTAAATGTCAGTAATTTCAAAGGCAATTGAAGATCTGCAACAAATGCTGGCCTTGCCAGTTATACCCACATCCCATGAAAAAATACATAATATAAATTTGCTTGTCTATCTCTTATTTTACAAGAAGGGTTTGAACCTGAAACACTGAATACCTGCCTTCTCTAGAGATATTGCTTTGTTTGCTGTGTGTTTCCATTTCCTTTTTTTGTTAAGTTGCAGGAGCTTCAAAGGATAACTTCAAAATTACAGTACATGGTTTTCATAAAGTAAAGCAGGAAAGAAATTTTTGATTTGATTTATTACTGTCATGTGTACCAAGATAAAGTGAAAAGTGTTGTCTTATGTGCTTTATAGGCAGATTGTATTATATGAGTGCATCAGTGTAACAGAGCAGAGTGCAGGATACAATGTTACAGCTGCCGAGAAGGTGCAGAGAGAGATCAACGTTAGCATCAAAGAGGTCCATTCAAAAGTCTGATAACAGTGGGGAAGAAGCTGTTCTTGAATCCCTTCGTACATGTATACAAACTTTTATATCTTCTGCCCAACGTAAGAGGGTAGAAGAGAGTACAACTGGGGTGGGAGGGGTCTTTGATTATATTGGTTGCTTTCCTGATGCAGCAGGAAATATAGATGAAGTCAATGGATGGGCGGTTGGTTTGCGTGATGGACTGGGCTGTATTCACAACTCTCTGTATTTTCTTTTAGACTTGGGAAAAGCAACTGTCATACCAGGCTGTGATGCATCTGGCTAGGATGCTTTCTACGGTGTGTTTATAAGAATCTGTAAAAGTCTTTATGGACATGCCAAATTTCCTTAGCCTCCTGAGGATGTAGAGGCGTTGCTATGCTTTCTTGACTACAGTGCCAACGTGGGTAAACCAGTTCACATTGCTGGCGATCGTCACTCCCAGGAACATGATGCTCTCAACCATCTCCACCTCAGCATCATTGTTAGATAGGGGCGTGGCCACCACTCCACTTCCTGAAGTCAATGACCAACTCCTTTCTTTTGCTGACATTGATGGAGAGGTTGTTGTTTTTACACCATGCTGTTAAACACTCCATCTCCTTCCTGTAATCAGTTTCATCGTGGTTTGAAATCACACCTACAACAGTGGTGTCATCAGCAAACTCGAAAATGGAGTTGCTGTGGAATTTGGCCACATAGTCATGTGTGTGTATAAGGAGTACATTAGGGGCCTGAGTATGCACCCTTGTGAAGCATCGGTGTTGAGGAATATCATGAAGGTGGTGTTGTCACCTATCCTTACTGACTGTGGTCTACTGGTCAGGAAGTCAAGAATCCAGTTACAGAGGGGGGAGTACAGACCTAGGTCCTGGAGTTTAGAGATTAAATGGTCTGGAATTATGGTGTTGAAGGCAGAGCTGGAGTCAATAAGTAGGAGCCTGACATAGGTATCCTTGTTGTCCAGATGTTCCAGGCATAAGCATAGGGTCAGGGAGATGGTGTCTGCCGTGGACTTGTTGCACTGTTAGATGAACTGCAATTGGGAGGCTGGAGTTGATGTGTGCCATTACTCTCAAAGCACCTCATAATGATGGATGTCAGAGCCACTGGGCAGTAGTCACTGAGGCACGCTGCATGATTTTTCTTTGGAACTTTCTTTGGGATGATGGTGGTCTTCTTGAAGCAGGTGGGGA